ATCAATCGGGGATCACCAGTGGACCTCTGACAGCTTACATGGGGTACAATTTTCTAGAGTTCATATTTGTATCCCAACTGTTTCTAGTCACATCATTCCTAGCCTTATTCTCAACAAGGTCTACACTACAGGCTGTTATAGTAATGTATACAATTTCATTCTGACACACCCCTTAACTGCCTGCAGTGAAGAACCATGTGCAGAATCACCCCCGGAAGGAATACACCCTGCATGGCGCAGCACGAGAAGAGGGCAAGTGAGGAGGAGGAGGGACTATGAGAGGAGAGGAGGTAGGAGGCGGCAGCTGAAGCTGCTGGCACACGGGCGACTGGAGCAACTGGCACACAGGCTACCGGAGCAAGGGCATCCGGACTACTGGAGTAACTGGCTCCGCGGCTAGACGAGCGGCTGGAGCAACTGACCCACGGGCGACTGGAGCAACGGGCTCAAGGGCTACCGGAGCAAGGGCATCCGGACTACTGGAGCTGCTGGCTTCATGGCGGCAACCTCATTTCAACGTCCCCCTATTGTCCCACACCCCCTTTCCAGAGCCCCTTCTGCATCCCTAGCGCCACTCCCTCGATTCCCCCACACCCTCCCCCTTTCAGCGGCAGTTGCAGCAGTGGGAGAGAGAGAGGAGGAGGAGCAGCAGCAGATTACTCACACTCGCCACCCCCATACCCTTCCCGCCACTGCTGCACGCGCAACAGGGGGATGGAGGAGAAGGGGGGGCGGGGGGGGGGGCGGGGTAGGAGCTGCGTGGGCGACAGCAGGGGTTGTGCAGGTGGGCGCGCGGAAGGTCAGGTGCGCGCGGAAGGTCAGGTGCGCGCGGGCCTGGCGCGGGCTGTGCCAGCTGCGCGCGGGCCTGGCGCAGGCTGTACGGGCCGCACGCGGGCCTGGCGCGGGCTGCACAGGCAGCGCGCGGGCCTGGCGCGGACTGCACAGGCAGCGTGCGGGCCTGGCGTGGGCTGTACGGGCCGCGCGCGGGCCTTGCTCGGGTCGTACGGGCTGCGCGCGGCAGGGCAGAAACCGTCGCGCGCCTCGGGGCGCACGACGGGCAGGAAACCGTTGTGCGTCCGGGGCGCGCGACGGGCAGCAGAGCACATTTGGCGGAAGCTAACGGTGGGCCGATGGGGTAAATAAGAATAACAGGCCAGGATTTTACTCGCTCTGATACCATGTCAAAAGACTAACTTAGGCTAAGAAGCGATAGCTAGGTTTTAGGGTAGAATGAGAGCATGACGAGAAGTTTGCCAAAGCAAAGAGGATGGACTAAAGAGAATCGAGAGTACAAATAAGGAAGCATGAGGGTGCACCACCCAACATAGAACAACACTAGGTCTACACTACAGGCAGTTATAGTAATGTATACAAATAAATTTTGACAGCTTCGTTCCGATAAAGTTGCATTGAAGCACCAATGAAACAATACTTTGTGGTGCCAGGCTTCGCAATCGAAGTCTGAAGGATATGATAAGTAATCAGGGGCCTTAAGACAATCACACTGACTCAGCCAGTGGTAAGTAAACAAAATATGAAAATGGGTTTCCATTGCGTGATGAGTCTGATTCGTTAGACTGGTCATAGTATTTAGTCACATCTTAGATAAGGCATTCTCTCGACTTATAGAACACGGCTTGTATCGGATCTGTCTAATATCTGTTTCGGTACTTCCTTGTGCACGGCAAAAACAAGGCGTTGTTGATGGAGACCACTTGCCAGTCGTTACAAGTCAACGTCGACTGGGCAGGCTGCTTACGTGCGAAGTGAAGGCTGAGCTGTGAAATCTTGGAATCAGGCGTAAATGTGGCAGCATTTGTACCGTAGCGATTCACGGCGGTGCTTGAGATGGAGAAGCACACGGGTTCGTGTTCCCGTTCCTGCCCTGAATTTTCCGGAACAAGGGCGAACCTACCTTGGTGTTGTGTTTTCTGTACAGAACAGAAAAAGAAATTAAACCCATGGCTTACGGCATGTCATTCAGGAGCCTCAACCCTAAACTTTTAGGTTGATGCCTCCCGAATGGCATGCCTTCCGACTGGGGTTTATTTTTTTCTTGCCCGCGGTCAGCTTGCTGACTCGATTGCACTGTATATATACCAGTTTGGGGACCAGACCAGATAACCCGACACATTCAAATCTGATAGGCGGCAACATTGTGTTGTGATTTGTGAAGTGAACCTCGGCTGCTGCTGCCAGTTCGACCTGAAATTCATCAGGTTCTTCGGCCAGCTGTATACAATTTTGTGTTTCGCAGCATGTACATAATGTGGAACACAAATTATCGTAGCCAGCAGAAGTGTATCGCTGACCCACAATTTACTGAAAGGTCCATTCCTTTCCAACGATTGCGCCCACAAAGGAAGTGTACTCATGCAAGCACATTTTGTCATGCCGGCACTGCTGAGCTACACACTTGTCCTTTCTGCCTCACTGGTTTTGCGGTGGGCGGCAACTTGGTGAAATGTTTTTGAAAAGTTGTTCCAGGGCACGTTTTGGTGTAGGGGATCTAGTGTAGGCCGTAGCCCGCGTCAGTAGTCCCTTCAAACCAAACTGACCTATTTGGCTATAGAGATCAGACACCCAGGAACTAGAGGCCATCCGTAGAATTGTTAAGTGTCGATGTTGTAAAAGTCTGACTTTGTGACCGCAACACAAAGTCTTGATCATTTGCTGCGACCATGTTTATCGTTTTCCCGCTGACTCTTCTACGCAGTCTTAATCGCTGTAAATCAGGAACGAATACACAGGGATATGAAATTGGAGGTGTGAAATCGGCGCGGACTATTTCTACACCATTCTCTCAAATCTGCCTAAGCAGCCACCGACCGAGTTGTCCACAGTGTACTTTAATGATGCGACAGAGCTTGACTCTGGGTGGGATTTTCCTACGTTACTTCGCTTTACGACCCAACCTGCCACACACAGTGAATTCGGTCGGGCATACACCTTGCTGTGTGTGCAAGAGCATTGACAACTGTAGATGCTGACCTCGTTTGAAGTCTGTGGCCGCTGTCCAACTGTACTTTTGCGGTTTGGCCGGGGCTCCCGACATTTTTCGAGGGACCCTGCAGTCCAATTTCACCCTGCCATTGCTGTTTCCCAGGCTCGGCGTGCCAACAAGGCGGTTTGTTTAAATTTACCATATCTGAACCGAGTGTGTTATGTCCCAGCTTTTTTCTCGCGAACCCAGCGAATTTGCTATCTGACACCAAACACGCTGAGGGCGTGGGCCCGATCGACATGATCGGCTCTGATCTGATCGGGTTGGTTTGGTTCGATTTTTTCTTTACGTGGTAGTTTCTTTCCAAATTAGGCGAGACAGACGAAAGAAATGTATTGCGGTAACTTCGCAAACGTCGCAATGCACACAATGTCCGCTTTACAACCTCCTTGCCAGTATGTTGGTATGAGCGAGGGCTTTTCGACACCTCTTGTCAAGTGTGTAACCGATTGTGTCTGATCGATATTGATCGGGCTATTTGAGGTGGCCGATCGAGTTGGAGCGATCAGCTGATCGAGATCAGCTTGCCCCCGATTGCCTGGAATTGGCCCCAACCTCCTCAAAGTTATTGTTCGTGTTTGATCGCGCCGATCGAAGTCGATCTGGCCCACGTCCTGAGAATTTCGCTGGAGTGTGAGCTGGAGACATGACTGGAGAGTGTTATGACCCACCCCGAATTATAGTGTGGTGTTTCTAAAATTCCAGCTTCAAAAGTACGGTGAGCTGAGCCTTGCTGACAGGTGCCATAGTCCTTTCAGAAAAAAACACTCTGAAAGGCAGGGGTGAAACGCCCTGTCATCCTCAGCCCTGGTGCAGACTTGCCTGGGTTGCTTCAACAAGAAAATCAACAGGTTGACAAACTTGTCCCACAAGCAGGTCCTTCTGTCCTAGGGTTTGCTCCACGGTCTCACTGACGCCCCATGTTTGTTGGTCGGAACATTGTGCCCTTGTTTCATGCACTTGTAAAAAGGTGAAAGAAGCTCGCCATGCGCATGTGTCATGATGTGGCCACACACAGAGCACCAGTACCGCAGCAACGACTCGCTGGGTGGGCAAGAAAGATTTCAAGCTCCTCACGCCGGCGCTCTTACACTACGTGACCAGAAAGGCGACTACGTACTAACTCTTCGTGCGCCTTCAGAGCAACACCTACAACCGAAACCACGTGACGCGGAGTCGTTCATGCAAGCCAGCGTTCCCGAAGCTGCGAAACTAAATTCGACAATGTCGAACACTACTACTGCGACTACCAGTACCAGCGTGCCGAAACAGACAGATCAGCGGCCCGCGAACATAGTTTCGAACCCGGATGGGCCATTGTCTTGGCTATTCCCTCCGCCGCGGCGTTTCTCGGAGTCTGACATCGTTCCTTCTGGCGGCGACCAATGTTTTGCAAGTGGTGGCACTCGGGCTATTTCGAATAACACCTGTAAATGTCCGGGAGACCTGTATACGCTGACACACTAATGCGTCAAAATGAAAAGGTCTGCAGACCTATCTCACATACTCTGTCATGAGACAGATCGAGAATAACAACTTCTCAGGTTCTGAAGGCTTAAAGATCACAAATACATCGTTTCCTCTGGCCTGTGCATGATATAGAAGATCATGTCGTAGTACGACATGAATTTGATGAAGGTTCTGAACGTCTACGAGGTTTTTTTTTTTTTTTTTCCTGTGTGTCTTGTTTGTGTGTGTGTGTGTGTGTGTGTGTGTGTGTGTGTGTGTGCGTGTGTGTGTGTGTGTGCGCGCGCGCGCGTGTGTGTGTGTGTGTGTGCGTGTGTGTGTGTGTGTGTGTGTGTGTGTGTGTGTGTGTGTGTGTGTGTGTGTGTGTGTGTGTGTGTGTGTCTGTGTGCGTGTGCGTTTCGCGCCAGCTGCTGCTTACACTGTCGCCGCCTCCTCGCACGAGCTGTCACCTCCGCCGGCACATGATGCTCATCCCACCCATCCGCGCACCTTACACCCACCGCTTGAGTCACAAGCAGTGCCGGCGAGGATGGGCGAAAGACACGGTGCAGTGAACACTCCTGGTGACGCCGGGCCATCCCACAGCGTCATGAACGTGCCACGGGCCATCCCAGTGGGTGGGTCATCAGCCCGTGGAATGGGCATAGCAGGGGGAGGAGAAGGGAAAGACGCCTTTGTGAAGGCGAGGGACGAGGAGCTGTGGCACGTGGCGGCTGGGTCGCTGGCCATGGTGCCTGCTGTGGGGTCTCTCGCTGTGTACTTCCCTCAGGGGCACATCGAGCAGCAAGTGCTGCTGCATCAGGTATCCTCCCCTCCCCGCCCTGCTGCCCACAGGACGCGGATGCATTTTCAGTCTTGCGTAACTTTCCTCTCATTCTCTCACTTCCTTCCTTCCTTCCTTCCTTCCTTCCTTCCTTCCTTCCTTCCTTCCTTCCTTCCTTCCTTCCTTCCTTCCTTCCTTCCTTCCTTCCTTCCTTCCTTCCTTCCTTCCTTCCTTCCTTCCTTCCTTCCTCCCTCCCTCCCTTCCCTCCCTCCCTCCCTCCCTCCCTCCCTCCCTCCCTCCCTCCCTCCCTCCCTCCCTCCCTCCCTCCCTCCCTCCATCCCTTCCTCCTCCTCCTCCTCCTCCTCCTCCTCCTCCTCCTCCTCCTCCTCCTCCTCCTCCTCCTCCTCCTCCTCCTCCTCCTCCTGCTGCTGCTGCTCTGTCCATGAAGCTACCTCGTCCACCCTGGTTCATTTCCCACTCTTCCTCTTCCAAGTCCCTTCCTCCCTTCAACCCTCTCGTCTGAACCTCTCGCTTCCTCCTTCCCTCACCCCATCGGTTCCTATATCCTTCAATGAATCCTTCCTCACTCCGTCCCTTCGACCATCCCCCCCTCCCTCTCCAACTCCCTTGCCTCCCTCTTCTGGATTTCCTGCTTATTGCCCTTCTCTTCCTCCCTCCCTTTCTCTCCCTACTTCCGTGCCTCTATCCGCCTACCCGTCCGTTTGGGGCCAAAACGAGGTTGTTCACAACAGTGCTTTTAAACCTTGTATAAGCCCTCAGCTTCTATTGACACGTGTGTCATCTGCTTTTGTTCAGGCCGGATTTTGGGACACGTTTGGCTCAAACCTGGGATGCCAGTATCGCAGCCAGTGCCCTAGACCACCGGGCCAAGGCTTGTGTTATTCAGAGTCGCAGCGACACATTTCCAAAATTTTACAGATGCTGCACTCTCTCCCTCGCTGCCTCCTGCGCACAGCGGGCGCAAGGATGGGCAGTGCGCGGAGAGGCGCTGGAGGGATCTGAGTGCGCACCTTGCTGCTCTGCCTGCCGGCACGCCCCTCCCTCCCATCCACATTATCTTTGACTTATGAGTCGACTCAAAACTCATCTCGTTTTCTCTGCTCCCTCCCTCGCACAGAGGGCGCAAGGTCGGGGGTTGCACGGTGAGGCGCTGGAGGATCTGAGTGCGCACCTCGCTGCTCTGCCTGCCGACACGCCCCTCCCTCCCAGCCACATCTTCTGCCGCGTCACTGCCGCCACCCTGCATGTGCGGCCCTTCTTTCTAATCTCCGCGCTTATGTCTTCACTGAATCCTATCAAGGCTTTGGAATGCTCCCCACGCTTGCTATGTCACCATCTCAATGCCCAGTTGCTGCTTCATATGGCCTTTATTTGTCTAAACATGGTTGCAAGCTTTTACATGCACATGTTAGCATGCACGCATGTGTGTGTCACATGTGCCCATGTGCGCCCTGCCTGTGTACATCCCTCCGAGCAGGCCCATCCAGACACCGACACTGTGTGCGTTGCTTTGCAGATCCACCCAGTGGATGAGGTGAGTCTTCGACACCTGTCTCTCACTTGCACCTGTTCATCTTAAGCATCACAATGACAATCTAGCACACGCTTGATGCTTTTTGTGTGTGTGTCCATACGACGTAGCACTTGCCGCTGTAACACCTCGCTACCCACTGGGTCAAAACGAGGGTTATATTTGAGGCGCATTGGAGGCACTCAACCCTTACATGTAAGCCCCTCAGGCGTTACAGCCGCTATGCTAGCCACCTTTGATACTGTATCTTCCACTCCAATCCTTTTCCAGGTTATCTCCACTCCATTTCCCTTTCCTCTGCCTATATTCCCTCCCACCTCTTTCTTCTTCGATTTTCATTTCTATGTTCCCACTTTTTCTCCGCCTCAGTCTGAGGCGGCTACCTCTCAAGCAGCCATAACAGCTGGAGCACAGGAAGCAGCAGCGGTAGCAGCGGGGGGGAGAGGAAGAGCAGGCGGGGGTGGGGAGGGAGGTGCGAGTGCTGCAGGGCTGATGTGGGGGCGGGAGGAGCAGGCGGTGATGTTCTGCAAGACGCTCACAGCCAGCGACACGTCCACCCATGGCGGCCTCTCCGTGCCTCGCAAGGCCGCCGACACCTGCCTCCCTCAACTGGTGCGCTACTGCTGCTGCTGCTCCTCCTCCCCCCTTACCCTCCTCCTCCTGCTCATATTCTTCCTCCTCCTCCTCCTCCTCCTCCTCCTCCTCCTCCTCCTCCTCCTCCTCCTCCTCCTCCTCCTCCTCCTCCTCCTCCTTCTCCTCCTCCTCTTCATCCTCCTCCTCTCATCACCTTACCTCCCTTTCACCTCCACCCCAAACGCCCTGCTTTCCTGCCGTGCCAGCGCCCTCTCCGATCTGTTGACGAGGCTCCACCCATCCTTCCCTCCTTGCTTGCCCTTTCCCCCACAACCCCCTCCCCCTCCCCCCTCATTTCCTTCCATTTGTCTGGCCGTCTCCCTTTTTTTCCACTTTGTATCGTCGCAGCCCGCCCTACGCTGTTCTCCATCATTCTTCCCCCGTCTGCTCTCCTTGTTCCTCCTCAACATTCTCTTCCCATTCTCCCACTGCTCTCTACTCCCCTGCCTCCCGTCTCACCTCCCTGACTATCTTCAATCAACCCATCCTACCACCTCGCCAGGACATGACGCAGGACATCCCTTCTCAGAGGCTGAGAGCCGTTGATATCTACGGCAACAGCTGGATCTTCCGCCACGTGTACAGGGGCTCGCCCAAGCGGCACCTGCTCACGACGGGGTGGAGCGCGTTCGTTTCCAGCCGAGGGCTTGTGGCGGGCGACAGGGTTCTGTTCGTGCGGTGAGGCAAGGGGAACGACTTTGGCTTCTTGGCTCAGCTGAAGTGTCTCAGCGGGTTGAATGTATTTATATCTTCATGTGACGTTGTGTGCTCAGTGTAAAAAGTTGCCATGGAGGATGGTGACTTAGGATAGTGTCTTGATTCTTTTGGGGTAGCATCTGGCGACTCGCAGAGTGGGTTTGTTACTCTGTTACACCATGGGGGGCATAAAGACAGCAGCGACTGCTCCATATCAGCCTCCTGTGCTTCTCAATCTCCTGATCCCTTCATTTTTGCTCTTCTTGCTCGTCTTACTCCCTCTCCCTTCCCATGCCCTCTCCGCCCGTTCCCGGCGATTTCATAATGCCTTTTCCCCTGCCACGCACTCCCAACCCCTCACCTCACCTCCCAGGGGTCACGACGGCTACCTCAAGGTCAGCATCAGAAGGAAGACTGTGCCACCTGTCGCCACACCATTGGCCTATGGAATGTTCGCGAGCGGCAGGGGGAGCAGCAGCATGGGGCCAGGGGGCATGGATGTGGAGGGAACGGTGCGCATGGCCACCATGGGCTATGAGCGGCGATGCCCCTTCACTGTTGTCTACCACCCCCGGTGCGTGACGTGGCATGGCCCCTGTTACATGTGTTACATGCTCTATTCTCCTTTTCGTTGGTGCTATCGGCTGTTGAGATCTCACAAGTTTTGGCCTTTCACAACGCACCAAACCAACAACATGACCCGACACTGTTGTTATCGACTTTCATGGGGAGTTTTTGGAGTTGCACCCTCTTGGAGTTCATGGCTAGCTTCTGTGCTTTTGTCTGCTACCCACTTTTCTTTGTTTGTCTCCGATCCCCCTGCCAGCAGGCTGCCAGGCTGTGCGCCCTTCCTCATCCCGCTCTCCGCCTTCTGCCTTTCTCTCCTGCGCAAGCACCACCTGTGCTCCGGGACTGAGTTCCGAGCGCCCTTTGAGGCCGAAGACTTCACCATGAGGAGGTAATTGTTTTGTCAATGTTATACATATCACTGCCGTTCCCTATGTTGTATACACATTTCAGTTTCTTTATGCAGTAAAGGCTGCCTGATTTCTATTATTGTGGAGGTCGCGTAAGGACTCAGCATAAACTGCTTGCTCCTTTGCTTCTCAATACAAATATCTCATGATCATTTCGCTCCCTTCCCTTCTCCCCTCCACGCCGACATTCACCCACCAACACCACCTGGGCTGAAGGCTGCGGGGCATAGTGGCAGGAGTGGGGAGCACCTCCTCTGTGTGGCCGCAATCACAGTGGCGCTCAGTCAAGGTCAGTCAACGCTGGTCACGGCGCTCAGTTAAGGTGAGTCAACGCTGGTCATGGTGCTTGTTCGCAAGCATAATCCCACACTTCCTATCCGCATCCTGCTGCTCTTCCAGCACCTCTCCCATCTGCTGCACCTCTCCCATCTGCTGCACCTCTCCCATCTGCACTTGCTTCCATATCGCTCTCCTGCATTCCTTCTGTCTCCCCACCTGAACCTTCCAGCAGCGAGCATCAAGTGACTCTCTGCTCCCTTGTTTCCTCCCTCGATCCTTCACCCTCCCCCTCCTCCTGCGTTTACCCTTTCCCTCCCCACTATCTCTGCAAGGTTGCAAAATTGTGAGTCCCCTCAAGGCACACCTCCGTGCAACCCCCTTTAACCCCTCCCTCCCCCAACCCGTCCCTCGCGTCCCCCAGGTCTCGTGGTCCGACTCAGACCCTGCTCTCTGCAAGCCCGCCTCCATCTCCCCGTGGGACATCTCTCCCCCCCCCGAGAAGTCCACCCCTCCTCCTCCTGGTGACTTTTGAGTCGACTCAAAAGATGCCCCCAACCCCTCCCTCCCTTCCGCCAGGTCTCGTGGTCCGACTCAGACCCTGCTCTCTGCAAGCCCGCCTCCATCTCCCCGTGGGACATCTCTCCCCCGCAAGAAGTCCCCCCTTCCTCCTCCCTCCCCCACCCCTCCTCCCTGCAAACCTCCGCCTCCACCACCGACCTCGACCCCTTCTCCTCCCACCACCACCGCACTCCACACTTCCGCTCTCCCTCCTCCTTCCCTGCCCCGTCCTCCCCTCCCTTTCCCTCCACTCCTTCCTTCCGCCGCACCCAGTTTCAGCCCTCAGAAGAGTGTGAGGGGCCCGGTCGCGGCAACCGCACAGAATCTAATATGCACTCCCACTACCACACAGCCCAACATGCACACAACCAAGGGGGCATGCATCCACAGACGCGCCATATGCATAGTAGCCCTGCCAGCAACGCACCGTTCGACAAAGACATGCATACCCCTACTTCTCGGAACATTCCCTCTTCGTCCTCCTGGCCCTCCTCTTTCCCCCCCTCTTTCCCCTCGCATCCTCCTCTCTCCTCCCCTACCTTGCAACGACTCTCCCCAGTCAGTCTGCTCAATGAGTGCATGCCACGTGGCGCCTCCTCACAGGCGGACTGGCTGGCCATTGGGCAGCAGGGAGGAGGAAAGCTACCGGATTGGCTAGAGGGGGGAAAGAAGATGGGTGGGGGGGAAGAAGAAAGGGGAGAGGGGGGAAAAGAGAGTAGAGATGGGGAAGAGGATAGAGCAGAGGGAGGGGAGGAGAGGGAGATGAAGGGGAGGAGGGAGAAGAGAGCATGGGACGTGGTGTATGGTGAGGGAGGGCGTGGGGGAGAGGATCTTGTGATGGGAGACTGTAAGCAACTGAGAACAGGTGGGGATTGGGAGGGAGATGGAATGAGGGGCGAAAGGACAGAGAAGGGCACTATGCTCATTTCAAGCCAAAGCTCTCTGTCACTTTTTCTCTCCCTCGGTATAGGGCATGAGGAGAGCGAAGCCAAGAACGCACTTACTCGCCAAGCACACAATAGTTTCCCTCCTGTTCCCGTTCCTGCTATCAATGCAGCTGCTGCCACTACTGCCATTCCTCCTCGTTTTCCTGCCGGAGCCGCTGCTGGTGCAACCACAACAGATTTGCCAGCCTCGGCTGATGGTTGTGGCAGTGCGGAGGAGGGGCCTGCTGCCACTGGTGCCGCACACAGAAATGCCTCTGGAAGGGGAGATCTCCATGGCTGTGTGCCGAGCAATGAGATTTCGCCAGCTGACAGAAAGCCGTGCATTGTGAGCTCTCCGGATGGCAGCGAGCGATCAGAATCGTCTCCTGTGAAGCATGGGCAGCAGCAGCAGCAGCAGCAGCAGCAGCAGCAGCAGCAGCAGCAAAAGGACCACCAGCAGCAGCAGCAGCATCAGCAGCAGCAGCAGCAGCAGCATCAGCATCTACAGCAGCAGCAGCAGCAGCAGCAGCAGCAGCAGCAGCAAGGAGAGGACGAGCAGCACAGCTTAAAGCAGATGAGAGTAAAGGTGTGTGCTTTAGAGTGAACTAGTGCACGTTGCTCAACCAGCAAACAGCATTGCCACCTTCCTCCGTGGCCCCTCCGACATTCGTGCTCATGCCATCTCCTATTCCACCCTCGAGATGTCTTCCTTCAAACGCCCCTCTCTGCTCCCTCACGCTCCCACAGGTGTTCAGGGAAGGGTGCCTCATCGCCCGCACCGTGTACCTTGGTCTTTTCTCCGACTTCCCCGCCCTCCATGCGCACATCGGTGCCATGTTTGGCCCGGCACTCAAGGCAGGCAGGGAAGGGGGACCACGTGCAGATGGTACTGAGGCTAAGGGCAGCCCTGGGGAGGAGGCTGGAGCTGGTGCAGGTGCTGCTGGTGCAGGTGCTGCTGGTGCGGTGGGCACTGCTGGTGGGACGGGCGGTGCTGGTGCTGCTGGGGACACGGAAGACGGTGGTGACGTGCTGGCGGGGTGGCGCTTGGTGTATGAAGACAGCGATGGGGACACGCTGCTTGTGGGCGACGGAACATGGACGTAAGTGTGCTTCCACTCTTTTCTTCCGATCCCTCCATTGTTTTTTCCTCCTCCTCCTCCTCCTCCTCCTCCTCCTCCTCCTCCTCCTCCTCCTCCTCCTCCTCCTCCTCCTCCTCCTCCTCCTCGTCCTCCTCCTCCTCTTATTTGTATCTGAAACATGTGTGGGTGCGTGCTTTTGGCGAACATCAAAGCACAATGCAGTTCCTCTAACAGCAAAGCATTCCATGCCGGTCAAAGTTACCCCGCATCTGACTTTCCGTGCGTCAACTGTCATACACGTGCCTCATGGCCTACACGCCCATGCCTCTGTCACACCCCTTTCCCTGACCCCTTCCTACCCCCTTTTCCAAACCCTCCCCCCTACTTTTGCACCTCTAAATTCCTCATCAGTGACTTCTGTAAGCATGCGCGGGTCCTCCGACTTTTTCAAAGCGAATAAACACTATATGGCAGTTTGTTCATGGTACTGGTACATTGCCCACCATAATCAGCTTACAATTCTAGAGGTGGTTTTCCTGCTATGATTGTCTTTTTTATTTTCAGATATTATGTTATTTCACTAAGATGGTATCAAAGTACACACACGTACCATACTTTTGTATGTAAACTTTATAAGCTAGATAGGTTTATACCATAGAGGAGATTGCATATAACCCTTTGTATGATTCTCTATTGTATTCTCTTGCATATAACCCAGGTTAAAACCTACGCTTCCGCCCCGCCTCCCCTAGCTAGCTTACTCTGCCATACCCCTCTAGTGCCCCTCGCTAGCCCCCTCTCTCGCAGCCCCCCAGCTTCCTCCGTCGCACCCTGTCCCCATAGCTGTCTCTAGCTGTATTACCGCACCTGCACTAGTCGCGCCAGCCGTGCCAGCCCCGCCATCTGTGCTGGCCATGCGCTAGCCCGTTCCAGCCAGCGCACTAACCGCATCAGCCCGTGCCAGCCCGGACGCCAGCAGCGTCAGCCTGAGCAACCAGCGCGCAAGCCGCGCCAGCTGCACCAGTCCGTGTGGCTGCCAGCCCGCCCTGCACCTGCCGGGCTGAGCCTGTAGTTGCACCTGCCGACCATGGCCTCCGCCGTGACTGTAGCTACATTTTAGGGTTTCCCTGTGACTGACTCCTCTCATCTGGTGTAGCTGTTCCCCTG